ACACTGAGTCAGGAATCTGTCGACGCAGGATCTCCAGCACACAGGAACTTATATAGGACTGAGGTAGAGGATGGGAATCTTGGGATAGGGTAAGGTGATGTGAGGAGTTAAGGGCCAATAGTATTCCACCAAGCAGGCTGGTAGCTAGGCAGGGGGCAATCTTACATCAGATCTGGCTGAGTCACCCCCACGTGGATGTTACAGGTTAGAGACAGGTCGCCAAACTCTAGCCAGGCTCAGGAGGTTACACTGGGCCTCACATCCGAGCCCTAAACTCAAAGTCAGGCTCAGGAGCTTACACTGGGCCTCGAATCCAAGCCTTTCTTAGGCCCAACAGCCAGGAGAGGATGTCAGATCCCATGTGGGTGCTGGGAATTGAACCTGAGTCCTCTGGAAGAGCAGGCAGTGCTCTTAACTGTTGAGTCATCTCTCCAGCTCCCTGGAGAATACTTTTACCACCAAATTGTGAAATGAAAGTCAGTTGGAAAATGGTATTCTCACAAGTATTTTATAAAGTCATGCCATTTATTTGAGAACAAAGATTTTCAAGTAGGATGAGGTGAACCCTAGACAGACACTAGAATTCTGTGTAAGACAAGTTTCTAAGTACATGGTGTATGCAGCTCTTTCTACTGGCTAGTTCCTCTGCGTGTCTATGGATGTTTTAACCTTCATCTCAGAAGTACTGAGAGATTCACACTCTAGGGTAATGGTCATGACTCTGTCAATTCCTTTGTGAATTGAAATGAAAAGACTCAAAATACTTTGAACTAGCTTACTGTTTGCTCCTCTCTCCCTCCCTCCCTCTCTCCCTCCCTCCCTCTCTCCCTCCCTCCCTCCCTCCCTCCCTCCCTCCCTCCTTCCCTCCCTCCCAGGTAGATTGGCTTGGAAATTGCCATGTAGACCAGGTTGTCCTTGAACTCACAGAGCTCTACCAGCTTCTGCCTCAGGATCTTGCTTGTCTTCATTAAGTTCACAGGGAACAGCTATTCCTGTCAGTGGACTGGTCCCAGCAATGTGGAAAATCAGGTAGTTTCAAGTGAGATGTTGGAGCCAGTTGTGTTGCATATTGCCTGTAATCTTAGCAGTCCATGAAGTGGAGGCAGGGGAATAGCCACAAATTCCAGGCTAGCCTGGGGTGTATTCAAGAGTCTCTGTCTCAAACATTTTAAGAATTCAGAGTAAGAAATAAGATGACATTGTGCATTGTACTTATGTAAGCATTACGACAGATCAGATGAGATGGACAGGGATGGATTAAGGCACCCGGGAGCCAAAGAATACTGAGTGTTACAGCTTGGATGGGAAGGTTCTGGCACTCAGGAGCCAAGGAATACCACAGGTCACAGTAAGCTTAGAAGCTTAAGGCAAAGTTGTTACAGTTCTGCTCCATCCATCCCTGCCCTTGCCCCAAGAACTTCAGTTTGCTAGGGAAAGGTTTACCCCCAGTGAAAAGTGTTACAGTCTTGCTCTACTCTGCTGTACCCAGGGTTGTCTCTACCTGTGAAAGAAGGTCTCACCCAAACCTCATTCAAGAGGTTTATTGGGAGGGAAGAATCCAGGACAGCTGGATAGCATGAACAGCCATAAGCTGAACAGACACAGGGTTATATAGGGCTTCTTGGGGGGTGGGGTGGAATTTTCCAGGATGGGGATTGGTCAGATTTCAATCCCTGAGTTTAGGATAGCTAAATCTCCTGCTCTGGGATTGGTTGGTTTTCTGCACAGGATTAGAGTTAGATATGGCTCTGGTTTCAGGGCCAAAGTGTGTTTCTTTGGCACTGGTTTCAGGGTCAGGGTACATTTCTTTGGTTCTGGTTGCAGGGCCAAAGTGTGTTTTTTTGGCTCTGCTAAAGGTGTGTTTCTTTGGCTGGACCCTTTTCCCTACAATTTATCCTTAGCACAGTGTCAACTGTGTATCTGCTCGTCTCTAGACAACATTCCCAGCTCCCATGCAGGGGTTCACATCAGCTCAGCTCTGGACCACATCCCCACCCTCCCCTGCAGGGGCAGAGTTTAGATTTCAGCCCTCAAGAAAACATTTCAGAAAGACCCTCTATGTTAACAAACTCCCATCAGAGTTGGAATTAGGGCAAATGCTCCAGGGCATGAGAGCAAGATGAGCAGAAAAACAACATTACAAGATTACAATGTTTTTGCCAGGTGTTGGTGGCGCACGCCTTTAATCCTAGCACTGGGGAGGCAGAGGCAGGTGGATCTCTGTGAGTTCGAGGCCAGTCTGGTCTACAGAGCAAGTTCCAGGACAAGTTCCAAAACAGTACAGAGAAACCCTGTCTTGAAAGAAAAACAAAACAAAACAAAACAAAAAACAAAAAACCCAAACCATTGAAAGTTTCTTTTTTAAGTCTTCCTCTTAAAGCCCAGGGAATGTGAACATGTGGGCTCCCAGCTTTTAGGGACTTGATGCTCAAAGATTGACCCACCGACCCATAGCATGGCTATTACTCAGCTGTTACAGACAATGCAGTGTGTAGTCCCAGCAAAGCTACCATCTCAGATCCTGCATGTTAGCAAGGTCTACAGCCATACACAAGCACCTACCGACGAGCTTGGGTGTGCTAGGTCTCAGCTAGGCTGGCCCCCCTCCTCCTCTTCCTCCTCTCCTTCCTTCTTTTATGACAAGGTCTTTTTATGTAGCATAGGCTGACCCCAGACTTTCAATCTTCTTGCCTGAGCCTCCCAAGTGCTGGGATTATAGACATGGACCAGCACTCTGGTCCTACTCTTTTGTTTCTAAGGAACAGGTCCACCCTGCCCCCTTCCTTCGTCCTTCCTTCCGTGTGCATCTGTTGGTTAGAACCTAACATCAGGCTTTCCTTCACTCACCCCCCATCTTATTTGAGATAGGCTCTCACTGAATCTAGAGCTCTCAGAGCCTGCTATACTAACTGGCAGGTGAGCTGCAGGGACCGCACACACACGACTGCCGCACCTAGCTTTTGTATGTGGGGGCTGGGGATCACGTTTGTATGGCAAGCATTTTACCCGCTGAGCCAGCTCCCTGGTTCTCTTTACGTCTCTCCTTAACATCTAGGTATTTTAAACACACGGTGGCTGGAAATCCCTGCCGTACTTTCAAACGTGCTTAACCTAGGGGTAACAATTAGTAAATCGCCACAGGGAAAAATACGTAAAATTCAGGGATGGCTGACAGGTGTTTGCCACTGAATACCCAGGAGCGTGCGTGTGTACCCCACCCCCGAGCTGTGAAGTCTCGGGACTCCTCCCTGCCGCTCTGAGCACAGGCACCCAGACACGTTTACCTTCCGCACACCTGTCCAAACTCTCTCCCTTGGTCTGAGGCACCCTTGCCCGCAGCGGTTCCTGCCTCACACTTGTGTCTCTGGAGTAGTCATCAGGGCTAGCTACTTGAGGACGTAAACAGCCACTCCATGTCCCTGTTCTAATAATGCTCCAGTAGTCTGGGAATTTTATAACAAAAGTTTTCAGAATGTTCTGGAAGGTTCTGGATATCCTGTTCCCAGTCTCTCTCTCTCTCTCTCTCTCTCCCATTTTGGACTACTCCCTCAGTTTAGGCACATGCTCATTTTGTCCCTTTGCAGACCTTGGGCAGCTCTGCACCAGCTAGTGCCTTTTGACGCAACATCCTCTATCCCCTCCCTGGCTTTGTTTTCCCATGAGGCTTCTGGCCACCACGAATTTGTTTGTAACCAGAGCAGCGCTTGGTCACTCAAGCCCCTAGGCATGTGATTGGTGCTGTTTCATCATTTGTTGAATGAATGCTTGAATAGTAGTTACTGTATTTCAGGAGTTGCTGGTGTAACCAGATAATGATTGACATGATGGATTTATGTCATTCACATGATGACTGCCCCCTCCCAACACCCAGGGTTCTTTTTCTTTTTAATTTTTACCTACACCTCCCCCGATCTTGTACAGGCTAGAGCTACCTACACACAGAAATCAAATCTTACCAGTTCAGTCTCTCTACTTTGTCAAAATCTTTTTCAGAGAGTGTGTCACTCAAAGAGGGTGATCCTGAACTGGGAAGACGGCTCAATGGGTAAAGTAATTGCTGAGCAACAATGAGGCGCTGAGTTCAGATCCCCATCATGCACGTAAAGCCAAGTGCATTAATGTTTGTCTGTAATCCCAGCACTCCCAAGAGAACACAGAATCTCTGGAAGCTTGTGGGCCAGCTAGCCTGAGTGTACAATACCACAACAGGCTTTGTCTCAATCAAGGGAGAAGGCAAGGACCAACACCAGAGGCTATCCTTTTAATTCCATATAGATGCCATGACATGCAGATGCCCGTAGTCACACACATACACACACCCTACGATAGCATGCACATGCCTGTAAACACACACACACACCACCACCATCACCCACCCACCCACTGCCACCCCACAAAGAGTTTTTGTTTGTTTTTAATCAGAGAGCTCTCACTTCGGATTTTGTTCTGCCCTAGTTCAGGGAGTGTCCTCACCTGGCCTCACTTGGAATTTCAGTGGCCTGAGTAGAGCCAAGTAGGGCCCCAAGCTGTCCAAGAAGAAGGGTCACTGGCTTTTAATTAATGGTGCACCTGTCACATCTTTCCTTTCATCCAGCCAGCGCCCTCTAATACAAACAGGATGGGAGCCGCCCCATAGCCATGCTGCTTTTCATCTGTGTATAACATGCTGGCCCAGTCTGTTCATCCAGCCCCACCCAGGTGTGCCCTTCCTCTCCTCTCCCTCCTCGTTAATGCCTGGGCTTCCATTCCCAGGGCTCAGGCACGCTTCTCTTGCAACACATCTTTTACTGCAGGTGGGCCAGGGATGGCCTGATTGAGAGATTGCTCCGGAGAACAGTGGAGAAGATAAAGCCCTGATCACCTCACCTGCAGTGAAGCAAGTGTTACCAACCAGGGAGAGATGGGCTGTGAGGGCGACCCTGATTGTGTAAGCAGCACCAGCTGCTGTGGCTTGTCTCGCCTGCACACAACACGGCCATCTAGGTACCAGATCCAGCAGGCACCAGTGTGAGCCTATCCAGCATGGCTAAGCTTTCTCTGAAACTGCAGGAGGAGCTTGGGGCTTCAGGCAACCAGAGAGTGCAGTGCCTCAGGCAGGAGCAAGAATTCACTGTACTAGGGCAGCCTGGGGCCACCCTGCCTCCAAGTCCCCACCATCCAGGTACCATTTTTGCTTTCCTCTTTGAGAACATGCACACTGCAAAGACACCTCTCATTGCTTTGGAAAATAGCCTATGGAAAAGATATTTCCCTAATTGCCTCAAAGGGATCTCTGTCTCTTTCCCTCCTAATTATGTGTTTGCTTTTGTGTGCATAGCTGTGTCCCTGTGAATGTGGAATTCAGAGCTCATCCTCTGCTGCCCTTCATCAGAAGTAACCTACTTTTTTGAGACAGGATCTCTCACTGGTCTGGAACTTGCCAAGTAGGCTAGGCTGGCTGGACAGAGAACTCTGGGGAATCTGCCTGCCTTCGCTCCCCGAAACCCCCAGTGCTAGCATCACAAGCACCCCTCTAGGATGCCCACCTTTCTTAAAAGCCAAAAAAATCCCTCTGTCTTTATTTAAAGAGTTCTTTTTTATTTCTAATTGTATGGGTGTGTTTTTATGTGGGTAATCACATATGAGTGAATATATCTGCAGAGGCCAGAAGAGGGCATCAGACCCCCCTGGAACCCGGGTTACAGGTGATTCTGAGCCACCTGACATGGATTCTGGATCCAAATTCAGGTCTTCTGCAAGAGCTGTACCATCTCTGCAGTTCCATAATTGATCTTTAGTTTTTAATTTGTTTTTGAGTTAGGGTCTCACTTTGTAACCCTGGCCAGCCTGGAACTCACTATGTAAGCCAGGCTGGCCTCAAACTGATAGAAACCCACCTGCCTTGTGACCTAAGTACTGGGATTTGAGGTGTCACTACACCCAACAAGCTGCTTCTTTTTTTTTTTTTTGTTTTGTTTTGTTTTGTTTTTGTTTTTACGAGACAGGGTTTCTCTGTATTGTTTTGGAGGCTGTTGGTCCAGCCCGGCCTCTGCCTCCCGAGTGCTGGGATTAAAGGCGTGTGCCACCACTGCTCGGCCTAAAACAAACATGTTCTTATGTAACCCAGTACCAAGTACAATGAATACAGTATGACTTACATTTTGTAAATTAGAGGTCAGGAAAGCAGAAGGCTCAGAAATGGGAATGCATGAGAGGTCTTCAGAGAAAGAGAATGCTGGAGTCTCAGGGGAACGAGGTTTAGAATTTAACTGCCTGAGGTAGAAAAAGGAAGAGAAAGTCATGAAGTTGGGGGTGGGGGCTTAGCAGTCATGGTAGCAGAGCCATGAGCTTCTAGGGGTAACTCTATAAGTCTTAACAGGGCACTAATTCTTCCCTTCCTTTACTGTTTTGAGATGTATACTGTTTCTATCTTCAGGCTTCCAATTGTTCCTTTGTGTCTGTAAACAAGATTTTTGATCATTTGTTTTGGAGACAGGGTTTCTCTGTATAACAGCCCTGGCTGTCCTGAAACTCACTCTGTAGACCAAGCTGGCTTTGAACTCACAGAGATCTGCCTGCCTCTACCTTCCAAGTCCTGGGATGAAAGGTGTGCGCCACCACAGCTGGTGTAACCAGGACTTTTAAACCGGTCAAAGTGACTTTAAACTCACAACTGAGACCGTCTACTCCACTCTGTAAAGAGTATGAACCATCTCCAGACCTATGTGAGCCCTGGGAATTGCTCCACGGAGAACTCTAATTCGTATTACTTCCTTGGCGCTAGCTCTTTGCCCACTAAGAAGGTTATATTGATTATGGGCAAAGGCGTTTAGCTGGACTCACTAGAATCCCTCCGAAAGCAACTGAGCTTTGCCAGCATGACTTTCTCCAGTAAAGTCTGAGCCTTCCTCAGCTTGCCCCAGGCTCCAATGTCTGCTTTGTGTGGCTGGAGGAAGTTGCCTGGCCTGAGCTTTCTAAGCCTTCTGAGTCAAGATTGCATGCAAACTGCCTTCAGGCACTTCAAACTCACATTCACTGTTTTCCCTCCTAAGAATCACAGTCCCGCACACACTGTGATCTGCACCTAGAAACAATTTCAAAACCATGTGCATTTTCATTCACTTATTGAATATATTACACTTAATTTTCCAACTTTTAAAGCAGAAAGTCAAGTCAAGTCTATATATTGTTTACTCCTTTATGGCCTCAAAGTGATAACTTTCCTTCCTTTCTTCTTTTAAGCTTGTGTTAAGGCCATACAATTCCTGCATCCATTTACCCATTTAAAGTGTCCCTTGAGTTGTATCACCATCAGCACAATTGACTATAGAATATTAACACCACGTGAAAAGAAGCACAGTATACATTAGGTGTAGTTCCTCGTTCTCTTTCCCTTCTGAACCTCACCCTACTCCCAGTGATCATCTATCTACTTTCTGACTCTACCTGTAATTATATATTCATCAATATTTTCTTGTTCCTTTTCCCTGCTGACTGTCCAAGCCACAGATGACTGTCATTTGACTTTCTACTTCAGTGACATCAATTCTTAAACTAAAATTTTATTGATTGATTGGTGATTAATTAATTGGGGTGGAGCTGAGTGAAGCAATCAGAAGACAACTTTTTTTTTCTTTTTGGTTTTTTGAGACAGAGTTTCGTTGGCTGTTCTGAAACTTTGTAGACTAGGCTGTCCTTGAACTCACAGAGACCCATAGACCTCTGCCTCCTGAGTGCTGGGATTAAAGGTGTGTGCCATCAACACCCAGCCAGAGTCTCCTCCTACCCTGTGGGTTCTAGGACTCAAACTCAGGGTTTCAGGCTTGCTGGAAGTGCCGTTACTCACTGAGCCCTCTTATAGACCAACATCAATAATTTTAGACAATACTTGCCTTTCTGTGTGTGTCTTATTTCACTTCACATAATGTTCTCCAGGTTTGCCTATGTTTTTAAAAATGACAGGATTTTACTTTTTGTATGAACAAATATTGTTCTACTGTGTATGTGCATCATATTTCTTCACACGCCTTATTTTCTAAGAGATTTTATTTACTTTTATGTGTATGAGTGTTTTGCTTTTGTGTGTGTAGACACACCACATGGTTGCAGTGCGCACAAAGGGCAGAAGAGGTGGTCAGATTCCTGGAACTGGAGTTACCGGTGAGTGTGAGCTACTGGGGTGCTGGAAACTCAACCCAGCCCTCTGCAATAGCAACAGTGCTCAGAACCAGTTAACCATCTTTCCAGCCCTCTGCAATAGCAACAGTGCTCGGAACCAGTTAACCATCTTTCCAGCCCTCTGCAATAGCAACAGTGCTCGGAACCAGTTAACCATCTTTCCAGCCCTCTGCAATAGCAACAGTGCTCGGAACCAGTTAACCATCTTTCCAGCCCTCTGCAATAGCAACAGTGCTCGGAACCAGTTAACCATCTTTCCAGCCCTCTGCAATAGCAACAGTGCTCGGAACCAGTTAACCATCTTTCCAGCCCTCTGCAATAGCAACAGTGCTCGGAACCAGTTAACCATCTTTCCAGCCCTCTGCAATAGCAACAGTGCTCGGAACCAGTTAACCATCTTTCCAGCCCTCTGCAATAGCAACAGTGCTCGGAACCAGTTAACCATCTTTCCAGCCCTCTGCAATAGCAACAGTGCTCGGAACCAGTTAACCATCTTTCCAGCCCCGTGTTCACTTTTTGATGGGCACTGTATTTTGGCTATTGTCTAAACATAGAAATACAGATATCTCATTTACATACATACTGTTTTCATAGTCTCAGTGGAGGTGTTGCTGGCAGTTTTATTCAGTTCTATCACTTTTGTTTCGTTTTAAATGGTATTTTTTTTTTGTTTTGGTTTTTGTAGTGCTGAGGATAAAACGCAAGGTCTTAGACATGGTAGATGAGCACTCCAAGCCACCATCCCTATTTTTAGTTTGATTTGATATTTTATTCTTTAAAAATTATTATGTGTGTACATGTACGATAGGAAATGTCATGCCCCTGCATGTGTAGATCAGCTCTCCACTCTTATCATTATGTGGGCTCCAGGCATCAAACTCAATGGCCAGGCTTGTGTGGTAAGTACCGTTGACTTCTGAGTCATCCTGCTTGGTATTTTTAATATTTTGAGAAACTATTTTCCATAATGATGATACTGAGTCACATCCCCAGAAACAATGTGTGAAGTTATCCTTTCTCTGTATTCTTGCTGATCCATTACTTTTTTGAGTCTTTGAAAATCCCCACTGTAATTGGAGTGTGGTGATATCTCACCCTGATTTTGATTTGTGTTTCTCTGATGATAATAATGTTGAGTGTTAAGAAAAATATGTATCTGTTAGCCCTTTGTACATCGTCCCTGGGGAAATGTGGCTATTTGGGAATGGGGCTCTTTTTCAGCTGGGTAATTTGACTTCTTGATATTATTTGGGTTCCTTATAGATAGTTGACTGTTTTTACCTGTTATGTTTGTTGACTCTTTACTATGTTGATTCTTTTCCTTGCTGTGCAAAAGTTCTTTAGTTTGGTTGGGGATAGTGATGCATGCCTTTAATCCCAGCACTAGGAAGGCAGAGGCAGGTGTATCGCTATGAGTTCAAGGCCAACTTAGTCTACAGAGCTAGTTCCAGGACAACCATGACTGTTATTTACAGAAACCTTGTTTTTGAAAACAAAACAAAACAAAAATTCTTTAGTTTGATGGCTGTCTCGACCACCCTCGACCAGCAAGAATGACGCGGCAACGAGGAATCTTCTTCTCACAGTTTATTCGGGGAAACTTGCTTACAGGGAGTGGCCCCGACCCCAGGAAGTCGGGGCTTAATATACTCAGCGATAGCCAATCAACTACACCCAGGTGGCACGCTAGGATAGGTTGTCACCAAGCCGATCTAGAAGGGTACATGGCCTTACTCCATAAGGAGTTGTTTACTGAGAGCACTCGCCATCGGGCTGGCGGAATGCGGAAACCAGCGCCATCTTATAGGCATGGTACTCTGCAGCTCCCAACAGATGGCATCCCATAATCCCATTTGATTGATGATGTTGTTAGCCACTCCTTTCCTTTCTTGAGATAGGAGCTTTTTATGTAGCCCCAGATGGCTTCAAATTTGGGGTCTTCTTGCCTCAGCCTCCTGAGAGCTGGGGTTATAGATGTTCTCTATTACAAATGCTTTGAAAACA